AAACAACAACAACTTAAACAACTTAAACAACAACTTAAACAACAACAACTTAAACAACAACAACAACAACAACAACAACTCCACAACAACAACAACAACAACAACAACAACAACTACAACAACTTAAACAACAACAACTTAAACAACAACAACAACAACGCCGGCTCCCGATTCCGCCTCCCATTCAGGTGTCACCACGCCAGAACCCCCGCCTCATTCCAGCTTCTTGGAGAGCGACAGGCGGCCTGTTGGGGTGAACGCCTTGAACGTGCCCATGATGCGGTCGGGGATCTGCGTGTAGAGGCCAAAGTTGAAGTTGCGCTGGCCATAGTAGTGGTGCACATTGTGGTCGTGGGGGTCGTACACCAGCAAGCCGATGCGGTGTGCGTCGTGGTTGTGCAGGTAGATGCTCCACAAGTGCCCAAAGAGGTCCATGATGAGAAACAGCCGCGCGCCCATGGGCACCACGAGCGCCGGCATGAGCGCAGACACGTAGCCGGTGAAGGTGATCTCAAACACATCTGCGGCCGACGCGGCAAAGGTGGTGGTGGGCCGGCAGCTGTGGTGCAGGTGGTGGCTGAGGTCGTACAGCAGCTCCGTGTGCCAGAGCCGGTGCATCAGGTAGAAGGTGGTGTCCTGCACCAGGATGAAGGCGATGGCGGAGAAGATGTACTCGGGCCACGCGATGTTGTCGTCGTCGTAGCGCAGCCGGCCAACACGCTGCTCCAGGATGGCCCGCATCATCACCGCAAGCACGGGTGTGCTGAGGACCAAGCCTTTGCTGGTGAGCCATGCCTGCCGCCGCAGCTCTGCGCGGTTGTTCATGTATGCGCCCCACTCTTTCGTCAGCAGGGAGATGGTCAGCCCAAGCACGTTGAACATGCTCGGGGAAAACAGGCACAGCGTCACCCAGTAGCTGAACAGCGAATACGCGCCCGTGCTTGGGGCAGGACCAACCCCCAACATCACCGACACAAAGGGATCATGCTCCACTATAGTCCCTGGTACGTGTGCGAGTGAGCGCGCGCGCGCGCGCGCGTGTGTGTGTGTGTGTGTGTGTGTGTGTGTGTGTGTGTGTGTGTGTGTGTGTGTGTGTGTGTGTGTGTGTGTGTGTGTGTGTGTGTGTGCGAGTGAGCGATTGAGTGAGTGAGCAAACGTGTGAGTGAGTGTGTGTGCCTGCGTGTCATTGACAGTGTGCGCATGGGTGTGCTTGAAAGACGCAACAGCACACAGCACCACGACTTCACAACTCCACAGCCAGCGTACCGTTGAAGAGAAGACTGTGCAAGCCTGTTGTCCACCATGGCCCGTGCAGCATCACCTGCTCCTCGGTTGCCATCTTGAGCAGCCAAGAAGAAGAAGAAGGAACACACTGCCGAGGATCCTGAGAAGCGATGGGATGTGGCGGCCACCCACTGCACCACCATCCACTGCCAAACACAAACAAACGTTTCAGTGCTGAATGTCGTATATATCATCAGCTACTTTTCTACAACGGCCAGCAGAAGAAGACCAAGCAACAAGAAGACGTCCTTTCTCCTCTGCTTGTTTGTTTGCTTGTTTGTTTGCTTGAGGTCTCAACCATCACACCATCGTCGACACCTACATCTGCATCGCATAGCTTCGCCCCGTTTCGATCATCAACATCATGGTGTTCTCACCAAAGGCCAAGCAAGTGAGCTTGGCAGCCAGCGCGGCGTTACTGCCCAACAACCTCAGTGCTCTTCACACACGTGACTACACCGCCTTTTACTACATTCACAAGTACGATTGGTGCCGTGTGTGTTTGCGCCTGTGCGTGTGTGTTTGCGCCTGTGCGTGTGTGTTTGTGGGTGTGGGCGTGGGTGTGGGTGTGGGTGAGTGTCTATATCTGTCCATGTCCATGTGTGTGTGTGTGTGTGTCTGCCTGCCTGCCTGCGTATCTGTCCGTGAGTGTATTTAATTTGTGTTTCTCCCTCCTTCGCCAAAAGCCGGGGTTTTTGTTTTCTGTATTGCGAGCTCAAATGCATGCATGTGTGTGTGCCGTTCATGACAGCGCTGCCGTGTGGCAAACTGTGCTTGTGGGCGACAAGGAGGAACACAAGCTCATGTGTATGTTGGACGAGCTTGCCGCTGTACAACAGGTACACGCAGCTTGTTGTTGTGGCACTCAGGCACCGGCGTCAGCACATTGTGTGCACGCTTGGGGAACAGCGCAGATATTGTGACGTGTGGAATCCTCTCCCCCCCCCCTCTTGTTGCAACTAACAGGTGTTGGCTTGCGTTGGGCTGTAGGCCGTGGTCGTTTCCTGTGCAGGGACAGCGCTGGATGAGGACGTGCTGGTGGTGGCCGGCCTCGGGTGTATCCGATTTCAAACCCTAACGGGACAGGAGCTGGCTGTGTTTCAACCAGACGCCTCGGACTCCGGGGCTGATGGTGAGCTGTTCGAGCGTTTGTTGTGATGCTCTCTCTCCCTCTGTCTCTCTTTACCGGCAGCAGCACGCCCCTCTGAATTTCATTGATGCATGCATGAATTGACTTATTGCCACCTCGTTTCTCGCTCACTCAACATGTTGGAACGCTGAGCACTCACGCGCGAACGCACACATGCACGCACCTGCATTCCCGCTTTACACATGTGCAATCATCCAAACACTCACCCACACACACACATATATATATATATACACTCGCACACACATAAACACACGCACACACACACATGTGCGCCACGCGCGACTGCCGTTCCCTCAGATCCAATGTGGTTCCGTGGCATTGCGCACACTGCGCGGGAGATTTTGGTGGGCACGTCGGAGGGGCAGGTGCTCGTGTTCGACATGAAGACCTTTCAGCTCGATCGGCAGCAGGATGCAGCCAAGAGCCCCATCACCACCATCGCTGCCACCAACAATGTACGCTCATGTGTGTGTGTGTGTGTACATGTGTGTGTGTACATGTGTGCATGTGTCTTGAAATGGCATTTCAAGGACACTCTCCAGTCCAACTGTGCAACACCGAAACCCCGCCCATCGCCCATTCACACTCAATCTCACACACGCTCTCCAGCTGGTTGCTGTTGCTGAGGAGAGCGGGTGCATTTCGCTGTGGGGACCTGACATGTCTTTCCACCGCCATCTCATTGGAGGTACAATTGGTAACTGCATATGAATGTGTCACACGCAAGCCAGCACGCGCTATGTCACCACCACCACCACCACCACCACCATCATCATCATCATCATCATCATCATCACCCTTCTTCCCGTTTTATTGTTCCCCCACCCGACCACTCGTATGCACGGATGTATGAACGCAGACCCCACAGACATCCCTTGCAACTCCATGCGCATTGCGAGTTCGCGGCTTTACTGCGGCATGGAAGATGGAACACTTCGCATCTTCTGGTGTGTGTGTGTGTGTGTGTGTGTGTGTGTTCCGTGCCCATGTCCATGTATCTCTGTGTGTCTGTGTGTTGGCTTTGTCTCTTTCCCGCACTGTTTGCCGTCTGTCGTTCCACATGTCCCCACACTCGCACACTCACTCACTCACACACACACACACACTAGCTTTGACACATTTACGCTGCTGGCCACCGTGCATGCGCACGGCCGCGGCGTGACTGCGGTTGACGTCAGCCCAGATGGGCACTTTGTACGTGCACTCCCACACGTGCATGTGTGTGTGTGTCTGTCTGTGTGTGTGTGTGTGTGTCTGTTTGTCTGTTTGTGTTTCTGTTTGTCTGGTTGTGTTTCTGTTTGTCTGTTTGCGTGTCTGTCTGTCCATTTGCTTCTGTGACACCCGTACAAACTGCTGCTCGAACATGGCGATCATCGTCACGCTTACAACGGTGCGTTCTCACATCACACGTACACGTGCTGGTCTGCAGGTGACGAGCACCGGGCTCGACTGCAAGGCGCAGGTGTGGCGCATTGGCCTGCCCAAGACAGCAGACACCCCGATCCGTGTTGACCTCGCCTTCACTGCAACGTACGCCAACCACCACGCGTGCCTGTCTTTGCAGGCATACCCAATCACGTTACCTTTGCCGCCCTTTTGCCGCCCTTGCCTGTCTGCCTGTCGAGTCCCCAACACAAAACAACATCCTGACTCTCTTTCACCTCACGCACACACAATCCGCGCACACGTTCACACACTATCCGCGCGCACCGATACACTTTGCTGGGCAGGATCAAGGACCGGATGCTGGTTGGCGTTGCGTTTCTTGGAGACAAGAAGCTTGCCGTCTCCTGCTTTGACTCGTACAAACTCGTCGTCTTCACCAAGTTATAGCACCACACACACACACACTCACACAACACACAACACACACACACACACAAAACACACAACACCATCACCAAGCAAGATAATTTGTTGGTGATATTACAAATCTTCATAACTTCGCACCACGAAACTTGAACGCACAACAAACAGCAACGGCGACCAACCAACAAACCAACCAACAAACAGCGTGGTGATGGTCGTGGCAGCAGCCCGCAGTGCAAGCGCATCAGCTGCTGCTTCAACGGCTGATCGTGGGCATGGGCAGAGTAGAAAGAAGAAGGCATCAGCCACACGCAAGCGGCAACAACACAGCAGCAAACCGCCACAAACGCGCAGACATGGCAAGGCGCAAGCTCAACAACACGCGCACCAGACACATCACACCACAAAGCCTGCCCCAACAACGGCATGGTCCTTTGACCGACACTCGCTCGCCACAAACCGGCTGGCCCTGGCAGACCTCATGCCCATCATCGGCTTCCCACGTTCCAAATGTGCGTGCGTTTGCGTGTGTGCTGGGAAAGCAACCGATTCAGTTTCATTGATTTTGTTTGTGCCTGTTCCTTGATCCCTTAAATAGTTGTTGAACGCTTCCCAACGTGCTGTCTGTGTTGCTGGTCTTTCTCTGCACGTCCTTCTCCCTTTCATCTGCGCAGGCTC